TGAACCATCAATTGCATTAAATCCTCTCAATTTTTTGGCATTCTCTTTTCTACATTTGTCTTGACTAAATGCCATAAATTCTCAATGGGATTTAAGACTGGATTATTTGCGGGCCAGTCCATTAGTTGAGGAACGTTATTCCTAAGAAATGACTGAGCAAGACAACTCGTGTCCAGGATTTCGACATAAAATTCTGCATTCATTATTCTCGTGAAGCAAAAAAGACTAGTTTTACCATTTATAATTTTTTGACGATCTTTTGGAATTCGACGAGTGGGCCATTCTCTCTTGTACCAACGTTCTATTGTATTACGAAAGAGCTGAAAAGCTGCCTCATCAGTAAAAACGGTTTTGTTCCAGTTGTCATTCAGATGATTTTGTGCACATTCTACTCATTTTCGTTTGTGGTCTTCAGTTAACATCGGGGTGGCCTTTGATAGCTTCTTTTTGCAATCAAGACCCAAAAGATGCCTCGAAATAGCCATGTGCGAAACTTGATAACCTTTATTTGATAACTTTGTTCCAAGTATTCTCAGTGAAATAGCAGAATCTCGACGTATAGACTGGCCAATTGTCTTTGCAATAATAGGCGTTATTTTTTTTTTCGGCCACTCCCTTTTTCCAATCCAATCTTCCATTATTTTGTTCTAATTTTTTGAGATTATTATAAATAGTTTGCATGGGATCTTTGTGGTCGTTTGACTTTCCTTAACTGAGCGCATTCCGATGTTCCAACAATGCAAAGTGGTCTCATGTTGCATATTCAAACTTGATTTAGTCATTTCGTGATCAAATTCAAGAAAAAAGCTAAAAATGAACTAGAAAACGGCTAAAAACTTTTTTAAAGAAGTTAAAAAATAAAAGTTATTGTTTGTATCAAAATGTAAAATTTTTTGCCATTTTGTTCGTGATAGGGGGAATCACGTGCCAAATTATATGTACAGTCAAACCTCGTCACAGCGGACCTCGCCACAGCGGATTTCTTGTTACAACGGATTTAAATATTGGCCCCT